GCCAAATCCCAGCTGAGCCGGGGCTGCAGGAGGCGCCCGGTCTGGGGTGTGTGATGCATGTGGTCCCTGCCATGCCCGTGCTGGTGGCGGGCACAGCGGGGAGGAGACCTCGTAGCTCCAGGGAGGCTTCTGCAGCCGGGGCCGGCAGGGGCCCGGATCCTTCCCCTCCGGGTAGCGTGGCCCGGGGCACCGTGCCGGCGGGCAGCCAGACCAGTGGTGGACTTCACAGCCACAGGGGTCTGGGGCCCACGCGCGGCTTCCCCGTAGCAGGGGTGCGGGGGCCGCGGGTTCGAGCCCCGCATTGGGGGGCAGGGAAAGGATCCAGGAGTCCTGCCAGGGATTTGCACTGCACCCTCGGGGGTGCCCCCCAAGCACTGCACCGCGTGGGATGATGCCCACCCTAGGCACTGCATGTACTGGGCTGACTCCGCCCCCCGGCACTGCATGCAGCGGACGATGCCCCCGGACACTGCACGACACTGGCACGGAAGGGGGGGCTGGCCCCTCCCCCCGCCCCGCGCTCTCCGCCAATCGCAGCGGCTCTTACTGCCGGGTGCGCCGCGCCCAGCTTATCCGCGGCTCCGGCATGGTAACGTCTGCTTTGTTGTTCTCCTCCCCCGGCCCGGCCCGGCCGTCGCGGCACGCGCTGCACCGCCCCCCGCACCACTGCATGGCCCCCACGCTGCACGGCCCGCGGGGAGGGGCTGGGCAGGGCCTTGCAGTGTGTTGGGGGAGGGGTGCTGGGCCGTGGGCGTGGGGGTTGCAGTGTCCCGCAGTGGCGGGGGGGGGGGGGGGACAGCCACCCCTTCCGTGCCAGTGTCGTGCAGTGTCCGGGGGCATCGTCCGCTGCATGCAGTGCCGGGGGGGGGAGGGGGGGGCTGTGCAGTGGAGCAGCCAGCGCGGCCCCCCACATCTGCCCGTACAGGGCCCCCCGGGGCCACTGGGGCCCGGCTCCGCTTGTTTCCCGCGGCTTCCCCTGGGCCAGTGTTGCCCCCGCCAGGCCGTGAGGGCTGCGCCCGCTGCCAGGGAGCACCGTGCGGCACGTCTGGCCCCTGGGCAGGGTGGGACCCAGGTGTCCGGCCCTGCCCATGGCAGCTTTCCCCACCCCGCCCCCCTCACTGGTTTTCTCTCTGTGCTGTTGGCAGTCTGCTCCCGAATCCGGCAGCGGCCCCTCGGGGCAGCCGGCCCCGTTCCCCAGCGCCCCCCCCATGATGCCACCGCCCTTCGTAAGTCACTTGTGCTCCACGGCTGCGCCACTGCGACCCCTGCCCTGCGCGCCCCAGAGCCCGGGCGGCCCCAGGCTGGTGCTGGGATGCGCACAAGAGCCTTGGCCGCCTTCCAGCTGCAGGGGCAAAGCCCTTGTGCAGGCCTGCGGGGTAGTGCCAGCCCCCCCATGCGAATGCAGCGTAGTGGCGCCGAACCCCCGTGCAAATGCGGCATAGTGGTGCTGGACCCCCGTGCAAATGCGGCGTAGTGGCGCCGAACCCCCGTGCAAATGCGGCATAGTGGTGCCGAACCCCCGTGCAAATGCGGTGTAGTGGCGCCGAACCCCTGTGCAAATGTGGCGTAGTGGCGCCAAACCCCCGTGTGAATGCAGCATAGTGGCACCGAACCCCAGTGTGAATGCGGCATAGTGGTGCTGAACCCCTGTGCAAATGTGGCGTAGCAGGGCCAACTCCCCCGTGCGAATGCAGCATAGTGGCACTGAACCCCCGTGTGAATGCGGCATAGTGGCGCCAAACCCCCGTGTGAATGCAGCATAGTGGCACTGAACCCCCGTGTGAATGCGGCATAGTGGTGCCGAACCCCTGTGCAAATGCGGCATAGTGGCGCCAAACCCCCGTGCGAATGCGGCGTAGTGGCACCGAACCCCCGTGCGCATGCGGCATAGTGGCGCCGAACCCCCGTGCGAATGCGACGTAGTGGCGCCGAACCCCTGTGCAAATGTGGTGTAGTAGTGCCGAGCCCCTGTGCGAATGTGGCGCCTAACCCCCATGTGAATGCAGCATAGTGGCACCAAGCCCCTGTGTGAATGCAGCATAGTGGCACCGAACCCCTGTGCGAATGTGGCATAGTGGTGCTGAACCCCCGCGCGAAAGCAGTGTAGTGGTGCCAAACTCCTATGCAAATGCGGCATAGTGACACCAGCCCCCCACATGAATGCGGCGCAGTGACACCAGCCCCACCACCCCATGCAAATGTGGCGCAGTGACACCAGCCCCCGGTGCAAATGCGATGCAGCTGCACCAGCCCCACGTAGGCACATGCGGTGGCCGCGGTGCAGCAGATCCTACCTGAAGCCTGGGTGAGCTGCACCCATGCCTGTCACGCCTCACACTGGAGCCTGCCCAGAGCATGGGGGCTGTGCACGGAGGCTACACACTGGCACAGACGCAGCCTGTGCCCACTGGCCATGACGGGTGGCCTCTCTTGCTCCTAGATGCCTCCCCCGGGGATGCCGCCCCCTTTCCCTCCAATGGGGCTACCCCCATTGGGGCCACGGCCGCCTGCCGTACCCCCCATGCCCCCTGGCCTGATGCCGCCGATGATGCCACCCATGACAGCGCCCCCGCCTATGGGACAGGTAACTGCCAGCACCTGCACCCCCACACTGTGGGGAGCATGGGGCAGTGGTTAGAGCAGCCGGGGGGGTGGGAAACAATGCCGAAGTCCTGGGTTCTGCTCTGGATCGCGGGGTGGGGAGAAAGCGGGGGCAGGGGGAGCTGGGCTGCACAGCTCTGGGGGCCAGAGGCCGCAGCCCTTGTGGCCTCACACCGGGGGGGTCTTGCCCGCATCTGACCGTGGGGTCAACTGGGGGTGCAGTAGAAGGCATTGGCAAAGCCCTGCACCCACTGCCTCTGGGGCTGCCCTGGTCCCCCCTCACCTGCTCTGCACCCTAGATGCCAGCCATGGTGCCGCCCTTGATGCCGGGGATGCTGATGCCGGGGGTGCCTGCCGGCCCCGTCCCTGTGCCCAGAGCGGTGAGCATCCCTGGGCTGCTCTTGCCCCATGGAGGCCATGGGGTGGGGGGCCCCCCACATCCCAGCACAGGAGGTCTCTGAGCCAGGACCTCAGGGTCTGTCTCCAGCGCCGGCAAAGGGTGGGGTCTTGTGGGGGCTGGGAGCTAGGACTCCTGGGTTCCCCCCCCCCGGCAGGAGAGTGGGCTCCAGAGGGATGAGTCCTGGGTGGGGCAAAGCAGAGACATGGGAGCTGCACCCTAGTACCTCAGTTTCCCCCAGCCGGCACCAGGCCTCAGGCGTGGGGGGACTGTCAGGACTGGCCTTGCTGCCCGGCTGAGTCTGAGCCGCCGCCTCCTTGGGTCACAGCCCCATTTCTTTTTTGGCAGGCGGCTCCCGGGACAGAGCCCCTCGGGGGTGAGTACTTGGGGGGAGAGCTGATGCAGGGGTGGGAGCGGATCCAAGGCAGGGAGACAGGGTGCACCCCACAAGGGGCAGCAGCCTGCTGTGGGGGGGACCGTGGCGGGGAGGGAGACGAGATGTCACGGCCCCTGGTTCCACCCTGGCCCGGTGCTGAGGTTGCAGTGCTGGGGCTCAGCTCCCGCCCTGGCTTCCTGCCGTGCGCCCCAGTCACCTCCAGCTCTTGCTTTCCAGCCCCTCCAGCCCAGCCGGCGCCCGCGGTGAGTCACTGCCCCCTGTCAGCCTGCGGCCCCCTGCCCCACTTCATCCCCTGGGATCCCGGGGGGCTGCAGGTCTGGGAGGGGGCAGAGGGCCCAGTGCTGGAGTCCAGGTCAGGGGTATTAGCAGGGCTGAGGGGGGCTGGAGTCTTGGTTGGGGGCACCAGCTGGGCTGGGGTCTGCGTTGGGGGCATTAGCTGGGATGGGGGGCGGGTCAGGGGCATTAGCGGGGCTGAGTACGGGGCACTGGCCAGGCTGAGGTCTGGGTCAGGGTCATCAGTGGAGTTGGGGTCCAGGTTGGGG